ATTTTTTCTATAAGAAAAATTTTTATTTCAAAATTCGCCATTGACACATACCTTTTGCATCGAGAGCAGGTCATGTAGCAGTTAAATAGCTTTAATGTCAGCCTGGTATCCTTTACTTAAAATATGGAGCGAAAGGAACTTCGGCGTTGACAGAAATGATTTTCTATAGAAGACGAGTAGTGACCGTGAATATATTGCCTCGAATGCTGAATTCGACAACGTTCTTGCAAAGCTACGTCGAAGAAGTGAAAACAAGGCATTCGCGTTCATTTAATGCAAAAGCAGAGGCGACCTCTTTATAGCCTGTCTTCTTACGATATTTCCTCTAGAATTATGAAAACGAATTACCTTGTGATTATTAGCAATTTTTTTTTTATTAGGCTATTAAATTTTAGGCGAAATTTATTCCATGTACAGTGATGTCTTTAAAAGCGAGGTGTTGAAAGTTAACGTTAGAAAACGAAATCAGAAGTTTCTTAATTTTAATGTGGAAGGAGTTTCCTTTTATAAGACTCGAAATTGAGAGGGTTGGAACGCTGGAAAATATTTTAAGGGGATGTGAGAATATTTTAATAGAAATGATAATTAAAATTGAAGCAGTAAAATAAATTAAAATAAAACAATAACGAATTTTTTAATTTCAATGTGGAAGGAATTTGCTTTTGCTAGATTCGAAATTCTGAAGATTGAAACGTTAAGAAATATTGTAAAGAAGTGTAAGAATGTTACAATAAAAATGGTAATGGAAATTGAACCAGTAAAGTAAATTAAAATAAAACAATAACGAATTTTTTAATTTCAATGTAGAAGGAATTTGCTTTTACTAGACTCGAAATTCAGAAGATTGAAATGTTAGGGAATATTTTAAAAAGTACGTAGAATAATTATATTGGAAATAATAAATTTAAATTTTTTAAATTTTTAGTTGGAATTATTTCTTGTCTAACAGATTTACGATCGGGAGGATGAAATGTTGGAGAGTACTGTCAAAAAATGTTCCAAGCTTTAATGCGAATAGTAATGGAATTATGCTTAAATCTGACAGTGAAATCCTTTGCGCAGGATTTGAGATCGGAGGATTGAAATGTGGGGAAATATTACGAAGAAATATATTGTAGGAAGACTTTAATCTGCCGAATAGATAGAAAATTTTTAATTTGCTTATATGAGCCGTTTCTCTTTGTGGGATTCGAGATTATTCTAAAATTCGTGCATTTTATATTTATTCGTTGAATAGAAACACTGTTTATCATGTCATATATTAGGTTGGTGCGTATGAAATATCGGATTTTTAAGTGAATGTATAAAACTGCATATCTTTTTTCAAAATCTATTTATTCGATGAAAATAAGCTCCATTAGCTTCAATACACCTTTTCCAACGAGAATTTAAAACATAGATGCCTGTCTTAAAAAATTCTGATTTTTAGAATCAATAAACTCTGATATTGAATTTTTCAAACTGTCTTCATTTTCAGACTGTTTAGCCCGTAAAAAGAGTTCTAAATTTTAAAAAAAATGAAAGTCCTTTGGCGAGAGATCAGGTGAATAGGCTGGGTGCTGCAAAACTTCATATTTTAATTCATTTAATTTCGCAATTGTTTTGTGCGATGTATGCTGCCGAGCATTGTCATGGAGAAGTACTGGGCCATGCCGATTGAGAAGTGATGCGCGTATAATTTTCAATTTTTCGTGTATCTCATCAATGTACTGGCAGTACTTTTCGGCGGTAATTGTATCCCCAGTTCGAAGAAACGAGTAGTGAATTACCCCAGTCACATTCCACCAAACTGTGATTAAAATCTTCCGTGGATGAAGCGATGGCCTTGGAGTATGGGCACAAACCTCATCCCTATCAAGCCACCGAGCACACCTTTTCCTGTTGTCGTAAGGAACCCATTTTTCATCACAGGTAATAATCCGATCAAGAAATGGCTCTCGATGAAATCGGGATAGTAACGATGAGCATACGTTCGACCGATCCAGCTTATTTCGCTCGGTTGGTTCGTGCGGTACCCACTTATCCATTTTCTTTACCTTGTCAATTTCAGAAAGATGTCGTAATATTGTTGTGTGGTCAACGTTCATCCTGGTAGCAAGTTCCCTCCTGCATGTTTCAGAAAGATGTCGTAATATTGTTGTGTGGTCAACGTTCATCCTGGTAGCAAGTTCCCTCCTGAATGCAGTTGAATTCGCTTCCACCAATGTCTTCAGGTCATCATTTTTCACAGAAGTTTTGGGTCTTCCACGCGGATCATTTTGTAGTGAAAAATCATCAGAACGAAATTTTTCAAACCAACGCTGCACTTTTCGATCGTTAACTGTATTCTTCCTAAACGCTTGGTTTATATTGCGTGCAGCTTTTGCAGCATTATTACCAAGTTTATACTCATATAAAGAAATTACACGAATTTCGGTTGAATTCATGTTGGTACAAAATTCAAAACAAATAACAAAAGGGAACACTTTCGCGAAAATCTCCTTCGTTGAAATGTGACTCTGGCAAGGGACAGTACGACTATAAACTAGGTTATGGCAAAAACAAAAGTATAACGAAAGCAGGGAGACAAACGTTCGCATGTGAAAAAAATCCGACTTTTCATATGCACCAACCTAATATTATTAATTACAAACGAGTTTATTCCATATTGAGTATTATTAATTGTTAAGTAATAATGAAAGCAATATACAATATCTATTTATAAATATTTAATTTTCAAAATATTCTTATTTTTATATTTTCTTTTCATATGCACCAATCTAATATCATTATTAATTACAAACGAGTTTATTCCATATAGAGTATTATTAATTGTTAAGTAATAATGAAAGCAATATACAATATCTATCTATAAATATTTAATTTTCAAAATATTCTTATTTTTATATTTTCCTCGCTGAAAACAATGGCCAATTTTTAAATAAATGTTTAAATGACAAACAAACTCAATTTCTAACTAATTAACAAATTTTTCTTTATTATTTAATTAAGTATCTATTTAAAAATTCATTTGCAAAATAGATATTGCATTCTGCTATGTTAATTATCATAGAAAATATAATAAATTTCAGAATATAGAATTGGTAATTAATTTCTTAATAATCAATTTCTTAATTATTTTATATTTAATTATTTTTGTTAACAACTCGTTCCTTAACAATTAATATCTTAATTATTTTATATTTAATTATTTTTGTTAACAACTCGTTCCATTTTCAAATTCATTGTTACCCAATGGAATAAAAAATAATTTTTAAACTTCAGAAATCAAAATTGAATATTGTGTATTCAATATCTAACATATCCTCATTAGCTATAGGATTATCCGATAATCCCATAACTTTCCTCGCTTGGTGAATTAATTAAGACAATTAATTCTCATGCTTCGATCAAAATTCCAAATGCTCAGCGGATCATCAATTAATATCACGAACATGAAAGGGGTCTGCAAAATGTCGATATTGCTGTCGTAGAGAACCTGAGACATCGCCATAAGTTAATTAGCTCAATGTAATATTACCATTTTAGTTTGCACACTGTGTATCTAGTCAGGCACGTAATCCTCTAATTTGGAGTGACGTTCAATGACATTCAATGACGTTCAATGACGGTAGTTATTGTTGTTTCCATTGGCCTACCTCTGCTAATTTCCATTCGACACGGTTTGCATGAGATAATGGAAGATACTCTGGATCCTTCGATGTGTATCTATCTTGACTTAGGATGATCGCATAATCAGTCTTCATTCGTTACTTGTGTAATCACGAAAGTAGCCTAAGTCATATAAATTCATTCTACGTGACATATTATTTCGTTTCAGAATATTAAATATTAAATATTTGGATAATAGATTAATTTGGGAGAAATTAATTATTAAGAAATTAATTAGTTATGGAATTGATTGTAAGATATGAAATTAATTAATTATTGTTTATTATTAATTTAAAAATTTTAAATTAATTAATTTCGACGAAACTTTGATCTTAATTTTACCGTACATTTTCCTGCCACATTATAAACTTGGTTTTACGTTATTATAATGAAAATGAATGCAGTATAAAGTAAATAAAATCTTCTTTTTTCTGTAATGTATATAATGAAGTATACAATGTAATAAATAGGAATAAATAATTCTATAATGCAAATAAATAGTTTCTATAATTCTATAATAAATAATTCAATAATGCAGTATAAAGTAAATAATAAAAATCACTTTTCTCTAATGTATATAAAGAAGTATATAATGTAATAAATAGGAATAAATAATTCTATGACGCATACAATGAAATAAATAGGAATAAATAATTCCATATTGCAAATAAATAATTTCTATAATTCTATAATAAATAATTCAATAATGCAGTATAAAGTAAATAATGAAACTCTTCTTTTTTCTCTAATGTATATAATAAAGTATACAATATGATAAATGGGAATAAATAATTCCACTAAGTAGGAAATAATTATAATAAAATAATAACAAATAGGAAAAAATATTTTCAATGCTCTCTTTAAATTTCTCTCGCATCTGTGATGAACGAGAAAGTAAATGTTTCTTATTTTTCCTATTTTAACGCGTTCTGTTTTCTCCACAAAGAAACATGGGGGAGCATGTACAATTTTCGGCGGTAAAAAAATATACATTGTTGTACAAACAAATAGAACAAATACTGCGATTTATGGTAGTATCAAAGTGGTCATGTACGATATTCATTTTTGGGGGAATTTGGAAATATTTCTGACAAAAGGGAAGAAAGCGAATTGTGACGGGAACCGTGGAGGAACAGTGTTTGCGTAGAAGAATTTAATAATGCGCAAAAATGTGCATGTAATGTGTATAAATTTGAAAAAACATCGCTTTGATGCCGGTGATTTAATTATCGATGGTACTGGTGTAAAAGGTATCGAAAAATTTAATTTCAGGTTTCAGAAGATACGAAATTTTTGTAATAACTTTGTCCTCAAAGCTTTGGAATTTCAGATTAATTTATAAGAATTATAATTTTATTCCGTAATAGATTTGAATTATAACATGTGATAAAAATTTTGTATTTCACGGGACTTGAAATTGTAGTGTTAGGTCCTTCATGAAATAAAATTATGTTGTTGATTTAAAAATTTTAGGAATCAATTTAAAATTATTTCACGTTATTTTAATTTCATACAAACATCATAAAAATTTGGTTATTTCATGGGGCTTGAAATTGTATATAATGTTTTGCAAGTGTTAGGTCCTTCGTCAAATAAAAGTATGTTATTGCTTTATAAATTTTAAGAATCAATTTAAAATTATTTCACGTTATTTTAATTTCATATTCGCTTAATCCTAAAATTAATTAAAGAGAGAACGTAAGATGTTAACTGTATTAAAATAATTAATGTTTTCCATATTCTTCTTCTCTTTGAACAGTGATAGTCCCTTTGAGAATGCTGTAATTTAGTTTCTTAATAAACACATTTTCATTTATGTCACTCTCACTTATGCTTCAAAAAACCAATTTCTGTTTTGAACAGTTTTAAACCTTTGCCCTTTTGTTTCGTACAGCGTAATATTCTTTGTAAATATGCACTAAACATTTTTACTACTAAATTAAAGAGAGAAAATTAAAGATGCTGTATATACTCAAAGAAATATTAGAAAATTTTTACATTAAAATATATTGTAGATATAAAAATTTGAGAAAAAGTTTGTATATTAATATACATTATTCCTAAATTCTTTTTAAAAATTGGAAAATATATGTACATCAATAACCACTGCAAGACGATATATATGATATTGCAAAACTTGTGTAATTTAATACTGCACGTATTTACAAGTTAAATTAGCATTGAAAGTCATCGAAACACAGGAATATCTTATGAATCTCGACGCAGGAGAATATGTCTCTGTAACAATGTGTAACTAGTTGCACTTACACGAAAACTTCCTAATGGCAGCATAGTTTACTTAAGCAAGTAACTCAAAGTCGATCAGATATCTCTCACAGAAGATGTTCCATGAGCATGGTAACATCTATTATTTCCTAGTTAATAGTTAGTGACAGACGCACTCGGAAATTACGTATGTATCTGATATACATGAAAAAGCAAAAATTGTGAATATTTGGTCGCCAGTGAAGTAGCCGTACCGTTGGTCAGACAGCAGAGCTAACTGGAGTCGAACTACTGGATATTTGGAATAAGTGAATACAATATCATTCGAATATTGCATATGTAAATATAATATTCCAATTTTTTGAAGATAAATGATATAAAAGGAAGGATTGGAAGTGTCAGAGTTAAGAAATTGTAGATAATTTATTCTCTTCGAAGTGACATTTTATACTAATATATCAATTATATCGAAATTATCAATAATTTTTTCTTCTTCAAATTATATTTCATGATATCTTGGTTATAATGAAATTATCAATAATTTATTGCTTTTCAAATGACACTTTATGCTCTGCCAATTATAATGAAATTATTAATAATTTATTTCTTCCCAAATTACACCATATGCTATATCAACTATAACGAAGTACTCAATGTATTCTTTTCCAAATGACAATTTATACTATATAAATCGTGATGAAATTATCACTAATTTTTCTTTTTTAAACGACATTTCATGCTATCTCGGCTATGATAAAATTATCAATAATTTATTCTTTCCCGAGTGACACTACATGCAATATCAACTATAACGAAGTACTCGATAATTTATTCTTTCCCAAATATCATTTTATACCACATCAACTGTAATTAAATTATTAATAATTTATTCTGTCCCCAATGACACTATTATCCATTATCGACTATAATGAAGTACGCTATAATTTATTCTTATCCAAATGACACACTTTATACTATATCAACTATAACGAAGTACTCGGTAATTTATTCTCCTCCATATGACAATTTATACTATATAAATCATAACAAAATTATCACTAATTTTTTCTTTTTTAAACGACATTCCATGCTATCTCGGCTATGATGAAATTATCAATAATTTATTCTTTCCCAAGTGACACTACATGCAATATCAACTATAACGAAGTACGCTATAATTTATTCTTATCCAAATGACACACTTTATACTATATCAACCATAAAGAAGTACTCGATAATTTACTCCTTCCCATATGACACTTTATACTATATCAACTATAATGAAGTACTCGGTAATTTATTCTTTTTCAAGTAATACTTTATAGTACGTCGACTATAATGAAAATATCAATAATTTATTCTTTCCTCAATGACACTATATTCGATATCGACTATAACGAAGCACTTGATAATTTACTATTCCTCATATGACACTTTATACTATATCAACTATAAAAAAGTACTTGGTAATTTATTCCTTTCTTAATAACACTTTATACCACGTCAACTATAGTCAGAATATTAATAATTATCATAATTCTTTCCCCAA